TTCAAATGGTATGAAGGGGCATCTTAAGCTTTTGAAAAGCAAAAGTAAGCACTAATTTTAGCACTTGTTTTAACTTTGTCAAATAACTTTGTTGTGTTCATTATCATAATAAATACATGTGACTATGGAATTGGAACTATACTAATGCAGGAAGGGCAACCAATAGCCTATATAAGCTAAGGGATATCTGTGAGGCACCAAGGATTATATGTATATGATAAGGAACTATTGACTTTGGTCTTAGCTGTGACTAAATAGACACAATACTTGATGGGGAAGAAGTTCATTATGAGAACTATTCACAGGGAATTGAAATTCTTACTAGGTCAGAAGCTACATACATGCTCTCATATAAAAGGATTGCTTAGTTGATGCAACTACATTTTGAGATTGAGTACAAGAAGAGAAGAGAGAACAAGGTAGCAGATTCCTTGTCCACATTACAACTAGAAGAGGTGACTACAATGGTTGTGATTTCTGGAATGACTAAAAATTTTCACAGATCAAGAATACTTGGGCAGAAGATCCTACTATCAAGGAGCTTTTGATCAAGGTAGAGTCTCAAGAAGAGGGGGTCAAGGAGTTTAAATTTGTAAATCAACAACTCACGAAAATCCAGTGTTGAGAAAAGAGATCCGTATAATGTGACATGAGAAACTTGTTGGTGGGCACTCTGGTATTAAGAACACCTACAAGAGAGTTTTTAATATGTTCTATTGGAAAGGATAAAGAGAAGATGTGACAAATATGGTAAGGAGTTGTGAAACTTGCCAAAGGAGAAAGCATGACAGTGTTGCCTATTCAGGTCTCCTCAAACCTCAGAAGATATCAGTTGTTGCATGGGTGAGTGTGAGTATAGATTTCATAGATGGGTTACCTAAATCAACTGGTAAAACTACTATTTTAGTGGTGGTGGAAAAACATACTAAACATGGGCGTTTCATAGCAATTAGCCCCCATATATAACTAGTTATATGTCTCAACTATAGTTGGATCAAGTTTACAAACTCCATAGGATGCCAGAAAATATCATTAGTGATAGGAATCTAATATTTATGAGCAAGGTATGGCATAATCCTTTTGCAATGCAAGGTGTGACCTTAAGTACATCTACCAAATACCATCCTAAAACAGATGGTCGGACAGAGGGACTCAACAGAACACTAGAGACTTACTGAAGGTTCTTTTGTGCTGATAGGCAAAAGGATTGGGCCAACTTCTTGTGTCACGACCCGAGTTTACCCCCGGACGTGACACGACGTATAAGACTCCAAAGAGCCTCATACAAGCCTCATAGCACTCATAACATAAGACATATAAAATAGTGCAGAATTAAAACTTTTCTTTAAATCCATATAATCGAAAAAACTTCATTTAAAACAGCGGAAGTCCTCTAGTCTCACATGGCAATCTATAAACATCTTGAGTCAAAACTAGGGTCACGACCCTTACAATAGAAAGTCTAATAAATGCCTAATACAATGAAGAAATGAAATGACAATAAATAACTTGTCCTCGAATCCATGAGGACATACCACAACTTGATGAATAGTCAACTCAAGCTTGAATTAGGAGAACTCAACTCAATTGCCGGAACCTACACTTTGTAGAAAAATAGAAGAAATATGGGTTAGCACACAAAAATGTACTAAGTATGATAGCCATGTAAAAACCATGCTTAAAAAGGACATTTTGGTTACAACCATGCATTGTGCCAATTTCTTTAGAAATATCATGAACATTAGTATCATAAGATACAACCATAATCAACACATAAGCCATTATCACACTTTGGAACCTTTACCTTAAGTAACCTTAAGCTACACTTGTGCAATGTAAGAATAGCATCCCATACAACTATTCCTACTAAGTACCACTTTGAGGTCACCTTAGATGAACTTGCCATTTTTTTCATATTTATCTTTAGTCAACACTCATACATAAGGAACAAATACATTTCATAAGTCATGACAAGGAAGGTTAACTCATAATAGAACCCAAGTAAAGCATTCATCATTTCATTAAGCATTTAAGTCAACATTCTCATTAGCTTCATTAAGAGCATATTCGTGCATTAGACATTTAGACATTGGAGAATCACACCATAGCCCTCTCGAAGCCTAATCGTGCAATGCATGAATGGCATCCCATAATACCACTCACAGTTCATAAAACCTCTCAAGCAACCATAGCACGTATCTCATATGATGGGAATAAGCATTAACCGACATAGACCATGAGAGCAAACCATGGAATCCGGTGTCGTATAACCCCATACCAAAAGAAGGTGTCCTACTTGCCTAAGGTAGAACTAAATGTATTTTAACTTAGGTAGATCCACTAGCTATAAACCTATGTGGGCACATAGTTATGGGATAAGAAAGATGTTCATTGAAACCCAGCCTAACTTAGGGAGAGCTTCCATCTTACCATATTACTCAGTACTTAGCCTCCATTCCCATAGAGTAGTTCATTTTCATTAACATTATTATACTTAAGAGGGCTACCACCATTAGGTTTACCGACTCAAGGTACATTTACACATGAAAGGGCCACCACCATTAGGTCTACCGATTCAAGGTACATTATGAGGATAGCTTATTGAATCCTTAAGAAAGGTCCACCACCATTAGGTCTACCGATTCAAGGTACATTATGAGGATAGCTTATTGAATCCTCAAGAAAGGTCCACCACCATTAGGTCTACCGATTCAAGGTACATTATGAGGATAGCTTATTGAATCCTCAAGAAAGGTCCACCACCACTAGGTCTACCGATTCAAGGTTCATCATTTCACACATGAAAGGGCTATCACCATTAGGCTACCGATTCAAGGTTTATCTTTCATTCATAGACTCCTCATGAAAGGGCCACCAACATTAGATCTACCGATTCAAGGTATAACATTACATTGAAGAAACCTTTCACATTCAATCATCATTCATAAGTGTCAAATTGAGAATAACCTTTCAATAATAACACAATTGCATTCTAGACATGATTGCATTACTTGCATTGAAATCACAAAGCGCATAACATCATGATTATACATCAATCCTTCATAATTTCCCCTTCAAGGCCATAAATCACAATTCACCAACACACCTAGAATACTACAATTTAGGCATGAATAATGACATAATTCAATAAACTAAATCAATATAGACTAAATCTCTGCACATGCTTCCATAATAAATCAATCCTAAATCACAATTCACAATCTAGTATTTTGAGAGAATCATGGGTACATAGGGAAATTTCATCTTAAAACAACATTAATTCATGAATTCAATCACAACTTATCATAATTCAACCTTTGAAAACGTTTAGAAATTGAACACATGACTTAGAGTGATAACCCTAACTTTTGGGGGATTTTGGAAACTTTGAAATCAGCTTTTGAAGGGGCTCCTTGGATGGAAACTAACCAAGGATGAAAACTATCATACCTTAATGGAGTTTTCCTCTAGATTTGAGAATAAATGCCTTGGTTCTTCAAGCCCTAACCTCCACTTCTTCTTCTTCTTCTTTGGGAACTTCTAGAGAGAGAAATTTTGGAGAAGATGAACTATTTTGGGTGTTAGGGAATAATGAAGTAAATGGGTGTTTAAAGACTTAAAACCATTTATATATGTGAAATAGGACAATTAAAAAAAACCCCATAAAATAAGTAATTAAATAAGAAATTACCAATTGACCCTCAACTAGGCAGCCCACTCCCAGGCACCACGAGTCGTGGTCAAGACCATGAATCGTGGTCCTGTCCGTGGTCCTTGTGAAGTGGCTATGACTTGGGGTCTTGACCTTTAAAAATTGGCGGCAAGACCATGAGACCTCCCACGATCTGTGGTCAAGACCACGAGTCGTGGTCTTGAGGCAGCACCTAGGCTTCAAAGCCTTGCCTCCATGCGCCTAAGGGATCTTCACCAACACCCTTCACGACTCGTCAAGGGTATCATGGCTCGTGGTGGTGCCCGTGGTCCCTTGACCAGTAGCTCCTTCAACATCACACAACTCCCATGTGGCTAAGGCAACTCCACGAGCCGTGAAGTGGCTTGTGAAGGGAAGCCTTGGTTTGGCCCTTTTTGCGGGCACACTGCCTCACTAACCACGGGTGGCACCACGACTCGTGGTGGTCACCACAGGTCGTGAAGACCCTCGTGGTCATGGTAGGCAGTGGCTAGGCTAGTTTTAGGCATCCTAGGCCCCTTAGCCATGGCCTTCACCCAAAACTCTTGGCCCATGCCCTTAACCCTTGACGTTAACCTTCACGTTTAGGATCTAGTTTAACCTACTCATTTCCGAGGTGTTACATTATCTCCCCCTTGGGAACATTCATCCTTGAATGACACATTAGACACCTTATGGAATTATAGACTCAAGATTAGCAGTCTATCATGCATGACACATCAATAAAATGCACAAATCATAGGAGAAAACATCAACTCCACATCAATAAGCTCAATGCAACACAAGGAAGTAGGAACTACATCTACAAACTCATTATGCATGAAACATCAACATTTCTCATTTCATTGGAGGAATTTCCTTCTCCAATTCATATAATAACATCATTAGGCAGTTTATGCAACTCTTCTCAAAGACACATTTAAGCATGTTCAACAATTCAACTTGTGAAGCATTTAGGCAACTCATTATAGATGCACATCAACATGAGGAATAAAAATCATGAAAACTCAATTTCTCATTAAACATACATTCATCAAAAACATGAATATCATAAGGAGATCATGAAAACACATAACTCATACATGACTCCAAAACATGAAACAAGCCACAAGGAACTCTTGGTCTCAAGCTTGAATAGGAATAGAAGAAAGTGATAAGGATATCGGAACTCTCAACAACCTTACTATTCAACATACCATCTCCCCCTTGGGAGTAAACCCATACTAAAGCTAATATGAAAATAACACAAACACATAGGGACCTAGAAACAACATTCACAACTTTAAAGAACTAATAACATACCGGTGCCTTAATCCGGAAGGGCTCCTTTGTCCTCTCTAGCCTGAAGTGCATAGAAACGACTATTCTTTGGAGCATTAGGATCCGAGCCATTAAGAGAAGCTTGTTTGGCCTCTTTTCCTTTGGCCCTAAGAGTAGGACAATCTTTCACTTGATGATCAATATTTCCACAACCATAGCACCCATTAGTACAGGCTAGGCACTTCCCAAAATGCTTCTTTCCACAATTGGTGCAAGTAGGTTTAGAAAATGGAGGTCCACCACTTTTCTCTTGGTTAACCCTAGGAGTGCTGGAAGAATCTTGGTTTGGAGCTCTCTTTTTGAACCTTGGTTGACCCTGCTCATCGGATCTAACTCTCTTCATCTCCCTATTATTTCTCTTAAGTTTGGACTCCTCAATTGATTGAGCATATACCATAAGCCTAGAGATGTTCATATCTTCATGGAGAATTGTCATACGACATTCTTCCTCAACTAGGTCGGGAACACCCATCACATATCTACTGATATCATCCCTTGGGTTAGACACCAAAGATGGAGCATACTTAGACAAAAGGGTAAATTTCAAAGAATACTCTTGAACATTCATGTTACCTTGCCTAAGATTGATAAACTCCTCCACCTTAGCTTCCCTCTTCTCACGGGGAAAGAACCTATCAAGGAATGCTTTCTTAAACACCTTTCAATCTATGAGACCCACTCCTAACGGCCTATTGCTCTTTCATTGAGTGAACCAAACTTGGGCAACATCCTTCAATTGATAAGTGGCTAGTTCTGCTTTTTCTATATAAGTCACCCCCATAGCATTGACTACCTTATACACCTCATCCACAAACTCTTGGGGATCCTCTCCCACCTTGGAACCTAAACATCGAAGGGTTCATCCTCACAAAGTCCCTCAACCTAGAAGCCATAGTGCTCACATTAGGGTTCACATGAGTTTCTACACCCCTATTAGCTTGGGCCGTCATGGCTTGGGCTTGAGTAGCTACAATTTGAGCCATCATCAAAAGAGCCGATCTAACTTCCTCATTAGACATGGCCGGAGGATCAACCGGAACTTGATTGCCTTGAGGAACTTGGTTACCTTGAGGACCTTGGGGAGGAACTCCCTCATTGACAATCTCCTCTTCCATCCTTCTTGTGTTCGCCCTTCTTGTATTCATATCCTATAAACACAAAGGAAGGGTTAGGAAAATGACATTCATAGAGTTAAAACTCTTGGGCACGACTAAAGAGTAATGAAAGAAGTGAAGTTTCCTTACGTCTTATAGCTTCTCATTCATAAATGTGTCACGATTCACACTCATGAACAAGACTCTACTCGACATGGCTTGTGAAACATCAATCTTAAAAACCATCCCAAAACCTTGTGTTGTAATACCATGTTTGTCACGACCCGAGTCTACCCCCAAACATAACACGACGTATAAGACTCCGAAGAGACTCATACAAGCCTCATAACATTCATAACATAAGACATATGAAATAGTGCGATATTAAAACTTTTCTTTGAATCCATACAATCGAAAAAACTTCATTTAAAACAGTGGAAGTCTACTAGTCGCACATGGCCATCTAAAAACATCTTGAGTCAAAACTAGGGTCACGACTCTTACAATAGAAAGTCTAATAAATGTCTAATACAATGAAGAAATGAAATGACAATAAAGAACTTGTCCTCGGATCCATGAGGATATACCACAAATTGATGAATAGTCAACTCAAGCTTGAACTAGGAGAACTCAACTCAATTGCCGGAACCTACACTTTGTTTTAAAATAGAAGAAATATTGGTTAGCACACAAAAATGTACTAAGTATGATAGTCATGCAAAAACCAGGCTTAAAAAGGACATTTTGGTTAAAACCATGCATTATGCCAATTTCTTTAGAAATATCATGAACATTAGTATCATAAGATACAACCATAATAAACACATAATCCATTATCACACTTTGGAACCTTTACCTTAAGTAACCCTAAGCTACACTTATGCAATGTAAGAATAGCATCCCATACTACTATTCCTACTAAGTACAACTTTGAGGTCACCTTAGATGAACTTACCATTTTTTCATACTCATCTTTAGTCAATACTCATACATAAGGAACACATACATTTCATAAGTCATGACAAGGAAGGGTAACTCATAATAGAACCCAAGTAAAGCATTTATCATTTCATTAAGCATTTAAATCAACATTCTCATTAGCTTCATTAAGAGCACATTCATTCATTAGACATTTAGACATTGGAGAATCACACCATAGCCCTCTCAAAGCCTACTCGTGCAATGCATGAATGGCATCCCATAATACCACTCACACTTCATATAACCTCTCAAGCAACCATAGCACGTGTCTCACATGATGGTAATAAGCATTAACCGACATAGACCATGAGAGCAAACCATGGAATCCGGTGCCGTATAACACCACACCGAAAGAAGGTACCATACTTGCCTAAGGTAGAACTAAATGTATTTTAGCCTAGGTGGATCCAGTAGCTATAAACCTATGTGGGCACATAGTTATGGGGTAAGAAAGATGTTCATCGAAACCCGGCCTAACGTAGGGAGAGCTTCCATCTTACCATATCCACTCGGTACTTAGCCTCCATTCCCATAGAGTAGTTCATTTTCATTAACATTATTATAATTAAGAGAGCTACCACCATTAGGTCTACCGACTCAAGGTACATTTACACATGAAAGGGCCACCACCATTATATCTACCGATTCAAGGTACATTATGAGGATAGCTCATTGAATCCTCAAGAAAGGTCCACCACTATTAGGTCTACCGATTCAAGGTTCATCATTTTATACATGAAAGGGCTACCACCATTAGGTCTACCGATTCAAGGTTTGTCATTCTTTCATTCATTCATAGACTCCTCATGAAAGGGCCACCAACATTAAGTCTATTGATTCAAGGTATAACATTACATTGAAGAAACCTTTCACATTCCATAATGATAATTCATAAGTGTCAAGTTGAGAATAAACTTTCAATAATAACACAATTGCATTCTAGACATGATCACATTACTTGCATTGAAATCACAAAGCACATACATAACATCATGATTATACATCAATCCTTCATAATTTCCCCTTCAAGGCAATAAATCACTCACCAATACACCTAGAATACTACAATTTAGGCATGAATAATGATGTAATTCAATAAACTAAATCTCTTCACATGCTTCCATAATAAATCAATCCTAAATCACAATTCACAATATAGTATTTTGAGGGAATCATGGGTTCATAAGGAAATTTCATCTTAAAACAACATTAATTCATGAATTCAATCACAATATATCATAATTAAACCTTTTAAAACTTTTAGAAATTGAACCCATGACTAAGAGTGAAAACCCTAATTTTTGGAGAATTTTGGAAACTTTGAAATCATCTTTTAAAGGGGTTCCTTGGATGTAAACTAACCAAGGATGAAAAATACCATACCTTAATAGAGTTTTTCTCTAGATTTTGAGAAGAAACGCCTTGGTTCTTCAAGCCCTAACCTCCACTTCTTCTTCTTCTTCTTTGGGAACTTCTAGAGAGAGAAATTTTGGAGAAGATGAACTATTTTGGGTGTTTGGGAATAATGAAATAAATGGGGTGTTTAAAAACTTAAAACCATTTCTATATGTGAAATACGACAATTAAAAACGACCCCATAAAATAAGTAATTAAATAGGAAATTACCAATTGACCCTCAACTAGGCAGCCCACTCCCAGGCACCACGAGAGGCCTCACGAGTCGTGGTCCTTGGGCAGTGGCTTTGACTTGGGGTCTTGGTCTTTAAAAATAGGAGGCATGACCACGATACCTCCCACGATCCATGGTCAAGACCATGAATCATGGTGAAGGTCGTGGTTTTTAGGCAGCACCTAGGCTTCCAAGCCTTGCCTCCATGCGCCTAAGGGATCTTCACGAACACCCTTCACGACTCGTCAAGGGCGCCACATCTCGTGGTGGTGCCCGTGGTCCATTGACCAGTAGCTCCTTCAACATCACACAACTTTCATGTGGCTAAGGCAACCCCACGAGCCTTCCTATGGCCCGTTGTCATGACCACGAGCCGTGAAGTGGATCGTGAAGGGAAGCCTTGGCTTGACACCTTTTGGGTGCACATTGCCTCACCAACCACGGGTGGCACCACGACTCGTGGTGGCCACCACGGGTTGTGAAGACCCTCGTGGTCATGGTAGGCAGTGGCTAGGCCAGTTTTAGGCAGCCTTGGCCCCCTAGCCATGGCCTTCACCAAAACCGTTGGCCCATGCCCTTAACCCTTGACGTTAACCCTCACGTTTAGGCTCTAGTTCAACCCACTCATTTCCGAGGTGTTACATTTTGTCACTGGCAGAATGGTTGTATAACACCACCTTTTTACTCAGCAATCCAAACCACTCCTTTTGAAGCTTTAGATGGACAAACCCCACCATCCATATTCCTTATGTTCCAGGAGATTTAGCAGAAGAAGAGATAGACATGAGACTTATCACTAAAGAATTCAAGATTGAATTGCTCAATTTCCATATCTCTAGAGCTCAATAGAGAATGGTGTCCATAGCTAACTTACACGGGAATGATCGACAGCTTAAGGAATGAGCATGAGTATATATGTAGATCCAACCATATAGACAGCTCACCATCTCTAACCAGACATTTTATAAACTATCAACTAAGTATTATGGTCCTTATTAGTCGACATGTTGCTTACAAGTTATAACTTCCTTCTCATGTGGCTGTCCATGACAGATTTCATGTATTCCAACTAATGCCCTTCCCTAGACAGCTTACACACTTTAATCATCCCCTAGTATTGTCTTCCCCAAATTGTGTGCAGCCTAAAGAGATTCTAGAAAGGAGATGATCAAGAGAGCAATACATCATTCCACATATACTTGTTAAATGAGATCAGGAGATGATGCAACATTGAAAGATTATGCCCACACTAAATCTGAGGTTTCCTGATTTCTTTTCTTGAGCACAAGAAATTTTTAAGGAAGAGGAAATGATGCAAGAATGAACTCATAAGCTTAAGAAGAGTGTATTGTGCACTTGAGGGGTTGTACCTAGCCGTTAAGTTTGTTAGATTTTCATTTAAGAAAATATAGTTTCATACTGTACAATTTAGTCCAATAGATTTTTAAAGTCAATTTTTGTTATTGTTCAAATTGCCTGATATGCTTAAGGATTGGACACTTTAGGTCTAATGCTAACAATTATGTTTTGTACTATCTCCAAGGCATGCCTTCGCTACTTGAGCATTGTAATTGTCCTTGTTGCAGTTTATGTAGATAATTGTTTAGCTAAATAGAGAATAGCTTGTCTCTTACTATTTGCCTTTTATCTTTCTTTTCTTTTCTAAGCTTCTTTACTGTTTTATTGCTTTTTCATTGCTTTCCTTAGCTTAATTGCATCCGCTGATACTTTTTATCCGAGATAGTGTTCTTTTCATATTATTTTTTTTATCTTTGCATTTATTTTTTTACTTTTCTTTAATATTTTTCATTTTCTTTTATTTATTACATTTATTATTTTTTTCATTTATTACTTTTATACTTT